CAGAGATGGGGGGCAGCTGGGAGGCACTGCCAGCCACCTTAGCCTCGCTGACCTCTTCAATTCAGAGTCCAGGAATTCCATTCTTGGCTTTTCTCTCCCTGCCCTGATGCCTAAGATCTCCTTGCATCCTGCGTTTTGGCATGAGCACATGACCCTCCACAAATGTTAACGTAAAGAGTGTTTCGGAGAGCAACTGAAAACCCACAGATTTAACTCCAGCTTTGCCCCAATTTATCTGGTTCCAGCAGGTAATTACAGATGTTGCTATGGTCAGTTAAGGAATGGCACCAAGTCAAGAAAGAACTCCCACTTTCACCATAAATATGACTGAAATACATATTCCGTATGTATTTTTTAAACAACCTTTGACTAATAATCCCCAGCATTTCAGGCCTTCCATGACTGCTCGTTATGTTGCAGGGAAGAAACAGACAGGAGCTCTACCCTGAGGTCTCCATTTATCAAGAGGTTCGACCCCTGGCCAGATGCAAGGGCGTAGCTGCAGACCGAGGCCCCGGCCCGAGCCCGCTGCAGAAGACCGGCATGAAGGGGGCAGCGGTGGCGTTTCAGTTCTCGTCCGCCGGGCACAGCCCTGCCGCGAGAGCCGCTGCCTAGGCTGGCCACACAGGAAAACACGTCCGGGAAGGCTTCTTTACCTTTCTGACAATCAAGTCATAATAGAAGTATTTTTAGCAGGGCTGCCAAAATTTCAAAAGTCACAGAGGCCGCCAAGCTGCTTTGATTAGAAAAACACTGAAAATTCCTTGACAACGACAGATTTTTTTCCACCCTGCTGGCGTTTCTCAAAGGATCTCCAAGCCTTACGAATGCGTAGCTGTACGCCCTCCTAGACTTCCCAGCGCGAGGGCTGCCCGTTACCGGGAACGGAGGAAAAAACCCGAAGGACTCAGTAAACCGAGATGCGATGGATTTAAGGCCTCATCTACAGCAACAGCGAGCGTGCACAATCAAAGAGGTTTTCTGATCTTTGGATTTCTGCAGTTCTCTGGCTGTCATCACCTGAGTTTTCAGCAGCCCGCTGCTTTAATCCATTTTTGTCTCGCAGCTCTTGGTTGCAGCCAGGACCAGCAGACCCAAGCCGCATTCCCAGCCCTGCCACCGGCCGACCTGCCCATGGGCAGCGGCAGGGACAGGAGCCAAAAGGGGTTATCTGTTAGAGGCAGAGGAGGGAAGACAAGAAACAACCATTTTCTCACACCTTGGAAAGCCACTGGGAGCTTTTCAAACAGGGGAATAAACTCCAACAGCAGAGCCTGCCTGCTTCTGCAGCCTGACTGATTTCTACGGAAGCCCTCGGACTGCACGCCTCGTTTCAGGATACGAGCGTTGTTATCAGATACCTGCCCCTGTCTGGCATCTGTACAGACATAAATCCACAAAGATCAACAGGGACGGATTCTCCTTGACGCGACTGCGCAGCATCAAGAAGCTTTAAACAGGGAGCTCCTAGGCCCGCTTTGGGACCCTCTGCGCACACACAGAACGTTGTATTTCTCATCCCTACACCGAGCATTTTTCACCCCCACTCTTTAAAGCCTCTACTTACGGTGCATCCACTGGGCAACGCAGATGGTGTCTTAAACAGATAAGCTTCCCGCAAATACACAGCTCTAACAACATAACCAGCTCCAAAGGCTTCTTTGTCTCCTGCTTTGTCCAAAAGCAGAATGGATATCCCTTAAGCCACCCCCCACCCTAGAAACACAGATGTTGACCACAATTTAAGTTGGGCCGGTAAGAACAATGAAAGCACAGGATTAGTGTGCTTACATGGGCTGCTCAGCGCATTAATATAAAAATCTCCTTGTTTATTGTGACATATCAACCCTAATCCAGCAGAAATAAGGAACAGTTCATTAAAGGAAGGCTGGTGGATTACTGGAGGAGTTAGGCCACAATAAAATCTAGGTTTCCTCCCATTAGACACCTCGGTGTATTTGCTGAAGTATCTGTGATCCTCGTGCACGTTGCTAGGATTGCGGTTAGCGCTCGGTGGGCAGGAAACTTCTCCGTTTCTCAGGTGTCCTGGGCGAGGCAGCTCGCTCCACCGCACCGGCTGCTCCTCCTCCGCAGGCAAGAGCCAGAGCAGGCCAGTCTTCCCTTGGAAAGGGCTCGAGACTACTGACACAAAAGTGCTAATTTTTTATTACTGTTAATGTGGCCTCGCATCATTAAGGCAATCTTAGACAAGCCACCAGGGAGAAGCAAACCATCTGGGGCAGGGCTCATGCCGGGGTTCCCAGACAGGACCTTGTAGTAGTCAGCCCTTAAAAAGCAACAGCCTTTTTTTTTTATTTTACATTTTTTTTTCACTTCATTCTTTGACATGCAAATTTTGATACAGTATCCTAGATTTTCTGTAAATAATTCAGAGGCTGCGCCAAAACGTAGCCGCGGTAGAAGCCCTAACGAGCTAATGTTACTCGTTACAGCACAAATCTAAGAAGTGGCGCCCAACGATGTAGCTGCAAATCTTGAACTTGATAAAGCGGGAGTGAGAGACGTTCCCCGCTCAGAGACCTTCTGGTGCACACAGACGAAGGAGAAGGTTGCCCAGCATCACCCAACAGGTCAACAGCAGAGCCGGGACCGCGACCTAAAGCTCCAACCATCTTCTCACGCCCCTCCTGCTCGCCACACTGCTGCTCTCCTTCTGCTCAAAACACTGCGGGTGAGTTTTCTCTGCTCCCCTCCCTAAGTGACAGCTTTTGCTGAACCTGCTACACCGATACGCTTTCGGGGCAGGTCTCAGCCTCCAATATGGTGTGAAAAATGATACCATTCCAGAGATCTCCGTATCGCTTACTCTGGTTTTTGTGCTAGTGTGGCGCGACGACGCTACCATCCAGGTTCTCAGCACAGATGCTGGTAAAAGTTTGATGCAGGCGTGTCGGCAGATGTCAAAATCAGCCTCAGAATGCCCTGGCAGACTGAGAGGTTACAGTGGACGCCCGGCTGAATACGAACCAGGTTTTTTTGTGTCCTTGCCAGGTGACTATTTACTTAACTTCTTTCTTTTTATCGGTCAAAGAGCGGCTAGTATGTCCGTTGGTCTCTTTTTCTTACTGTTTCTAGGCTTGGCTAGAACAGGATTTAGTTCAAAGGCTACTTTGTAAAGCAGAAGGTTGAGCAAGCTGGGTAATTTGGGCAGGAACTGGTCGATATGTGGGCTAATACAGACTTGCCTTTGTAACCCAGTTCATAAAAGCAATTTACTTCTGGGCTAGCATCAGTTCAGGAGCTTTCCAGTCTCTGACATCAAGCTAAAGTAGGGGCCAAATTTCAGAGCAGGCACTCTGAATTTGGAGGGTTTGGGCATTTTTCCTGAGCAAGCGATGATGGAGCCACTGGATTTCCTTGTGAGAGAATTGTTACTGCTTCGGTGCAGGCAGCTTCGGGGCCTGCAGATCCCTCACAGGCATGAAAAGGAAGGGCAAAAGTGCAGGGACTTTATAAATATCGCACTGGACTCTGATGCAGCAGCAAGGCACGTACATGGCCTGAAAACCAAGCCATTTTTTAGCCTGCTCGCTACACATGAGTCCACCTGTCAGTAACTGCGATCAATGAAGTGCTTGACAGCTGTCCTTCTGACACACAACGCCCGTGGTGTTAACGGCGCGTGGTTCCTGAACTCCAGGAGGCTGCTCAGGCACCCAAAGCTGTTGGTCAGCTCTGAAAACTTCATCCCTGAAGCTGAGAGGCGTATCTTTTCCTTCCCGTTGCAGGACTGCGTTTTGTCTGCGTTTCTGCGTGGTGACGTTGAAGCTCTCCTCCCGTCCCAGCTCAGAGCAGGGTGCTCCCCCTCAGCTCAGAGCAGCTGCCGGACAACGCCAGGGAATCTCCCAGGACTTAGGTTTCACCCCGCTTCCTGCTGCAACACATGGGAGCGATGTGGGTCACCTGTCACATTCCTGCCTCTACCCTCCTTCCGATAACCGATCGGCGCCCGGCCACCACAGCGTCACGACGGATGGGGACAGAACGGCGTGGTGGAAAGGAACACGGCACGCAGGGAAGGATTCACGCTCCTTTGCTTGGCTAGCAACAAGTCATGCTGACAGGAAACAAGCCCCAATGTGCTCTAAATTTTCACCTGTGCTCAGATACTCAGATGAATAATTTGGGTTCAGGAAACACTATTTGTATTCATAAGCCAGACTTTTCATAGGAAATAAACCAGGCATTCCATAGTGACGAGAATTTTTGGCCAGCTAGAGCGAAGCAGTTGCAGGTTTCGGTACAAGCTGTCTGACACTGCAGATCCCAAGTGGGACCCTTCGCAACGGCTCACTCGGCTCAGCGCAGGGGACGTGAAACACCATCAGCACTGCCCGACTCGAGCCCTCCCAGCTCCCACAGTCAGCTGCTGGAACACCCCAGAGACAGCGGCCTGGGAAATCAATGAAGCTCAGCGTGGTCGGTGCTGCCCGGCATCACGCCGTTCCTGGGGGGATTAAGCCCTTACAAACGTCTGGCCTCCCAGGAAAGGCAACTCGGAGCATGCAGCAAACCAGTGAGGAAAGCTCTGTTCTCCAGGGAGAGATGTAAAAGACACAGCCAATACTCTGCAGGCTTGTGGGCAGCAGCGCCTGCTAGCAGTGTCATCACAGAACTCAGTTCTAATCACAGGGACGTTCACTTCACTGCTGTCCAGTGCAGTTGCTCCAGGTTTCAACAGGAGCAATAAGACCACAGTCAGTTTTGGAACTTCTCATTCGTATCAGAGTCTGTGGTGAATTATAAGCAGGAAAAACTGTACACATCCACTTCCCTGCACCTGAATTCAGCAAAACGCACATTAAACCTTCAGCTCAGTAATGTGTCCCTCAGCCATAACGAGCAGCGCTGGCCTCGGACCGTTTGCACACGTTTCTGTGTTTTACTGCGCGATGAAGCTCCCTTGGGCGTCGCACATTCATGCTCATGTCAGCAGTTTTAGACACACAGAATCCACAGTTAAAAAATACGGTTATTACCTTTTTGTGTTGTGGATTGTGGTCCCACCCAGGACGATCCGGACCCCCGGGTTGGTGCGGTTGAGGTTGTAGACAGTCAGGGCCTCTTCGTAAGTTGCCCCCCCAATGATGAACACGATAATATCTTGGGGCCTGCAATAAAGACGCAAATGTTGAGGCGGGATCAGACAAAACCTGAGGATAAATCCTGCACCACTGACGGGTGCTGAGGCAACGATGCTGTTACTTCTCTCCCCAGACCACGTCTCATTTCTGTGATGCGCTGGGCTCGAGACTGACAACAACTGTAGCCCATTAAATGGCTTTTAGAACATTGCCTCTCCTAAACATTTACACAACGTGCTAACGGTCCTTGAAAGCCTCCTCAGCAACACCCACACGCTGTCTCCCTGCGGAGCTCCACCACGACACGCACGCCAATGTTTAATGCATGATCGAGACGCCGCTGCGGCTGTTAAATTAAGATCAATTCCGGAGTCAAACGAGGACAACCGTGGTGCTTCAGACCTCTCGGGCTTGGTTTGAAGGGCACAGATCAGCGGCGATTTTGCTGGCTGATTACAGAACTGCTGGGATTCAGGCGCATGGTCACCTCGGGGGTGACGTTCCCTGGCCAGCCGAGAAAGACGGGATGTTACGGAGAAGTGGTGGAGGGGAAAGGGGGAGGAGGGGAGCGCCTTCACCTGACAAAACACAAACCCAGCCATGTGCCCTGCACTTTCTGCTTTCCCAGGAAGGCTGCACCTCCCTTGCACCACCCTCCCCAACCACTTCAGTTTTCCACTCTCCAGGACAGCAGAACATGCTTGCAGCCCATAGATCAGCTCGGCTGCCATCCACAAGCGGAGAGAACGATTTCTGCAGAACGTGCAACAAAAAGGTGTGGATCTCATCCTGTCAGTCATCCGCTTGAGTCCGAGCAGTCCAGTCACGACACAATTAACTTCCTGTTGCCGTCTCAAACTCAGCTCTGCTTTCCAGGCAGGTACTTCTGCGAGAACGCAGCTGCGTGCTGCAGCGGAGGAAGCAGCAGGCATTCGCCTGCTCCGTCTGCGCAAGCTCTGGATCAGTGACAAAGCAAGTGGAGCATGAGACGGGGGTGACCCCGGAATGCACCTGGGCTCCGTGTCTCTGGTTACTCCCCGCTGAGAAGCCAACCTGCAAAGCCCTCGACACCTGCTCCTGTCCCGAGGAGTTCATCGGAAGGACGACCGTCAGCGACTTCTCTCTTGGCATCGCTGAAAAGACAGCGCTACCAAGAGCAAAACTGCTCCTGCCGTCAGAATGGGACCCTGGCTCAGAACGAGCGTGGTCGCCACCAGAGCCACGCAGCCGCCTCCCCACCCCTGGAGAGGGTGCAGAAAGGTACCAAAAATTAAGGGAAAAGATTAGCGCACACCCCTTCCCCAAGCGATCTTTGTTACCAATAACCTTCTGAATCGTAAGTCTTTTCAGCAAGTTTGGGTCAGGGCTGCACAAGCTGATGTGGACAGACAAAAGGAGATTCGGCGATGCCGCAGAAGGTGCCGGCAGTCTGCCTTCGCGGGCGGAGAGGGAACACCGCAGCCTCGAGGCCTCCAGCGCGGGAAGCCCCCCGCTTCAGGCACACCCGCTGGGGACACACAGCGTTGCTAATTCAGCTACAACAAAGCTGCTGCCTTCGATGCAGTTCTTCCGCAGGTACTACACCGTCTGTCGTCCTTGGGGACTACAATATTTCTAATAATGGCCAGGACCGCCAGCTGCAGTTTTCTGCACAGCTTCCTTGGAAAGGACAAGGCTCAAAGCAGAATCCTTTGCAGAGAAGTCAGCAACAGTGGAGCATGCTATATCAGATGCTTTATGCTTGTGCCCTCTGGAAAGAGCGACAAGTTTTACCCGGGGCGTGATTCACCCCTTCCAGCCAGGAGCAGTGGGGCAGGCAGCGCTGCCCGCAGCAACGCAGTCTGGGCCGTCTTCGCTTCCTTCCCAGAGCCCCCGGACTCGCTGTGCTCGCCTCTCCCCGCAGAGCTACGCTGCGTCCCCGGCACGGGAACAGCCTGTCAGATCTTCTGCGCCGCAGCCTTCAGATAAGCAGGTTATATACAGCACCGCGCGCGCAGGCCGGGCAGGTCCAAACAGCTCACCGAGGCCGGCGGAGGTTTCTGCACCCTGGTGACAACACAAGCCACCGAGGACAGAAGAGCGCGGCACCTCCGTCTTTTCAGCTACAGTCAGGCACGCTGCTTTGGAAACTGGATGCAAATGTGCCCAAGTCTTCTGGGGAGGGAAATCAAAGGAAAGGGAACGCACAGCAATGAAGTCATCTGATAAGCCACTGTCGGTTGTCAGAAAAAGCACACCTAAAATCTCCACGAGCCCACTTCTGTCGCGATGCACGTAACAGATGTGCCAAGCAGGCCATGCCATGCTTCGCGTCTTAGGGAGAAGGCCGAAAGCCGCACCTCCGCGGAGTGCAGTCAGTCAGTCGGGACCTGCAGGGTTCAGGTACTGTTACTGACTGCGTCACTGGAGCAGCAAAGAAACAAACCAGGCAGTGTCTCACCACGAGGTCTTGTGCAGGCTGAAGTCCACAGGATGTCTCCTGGTACCATCGTTTGTGCATTTTTGGTTGGCACTGTCAGAGACCTAAGGAACTTCGATGCCTCAGCCTCTAAACAGGTGCCCTCTCATGGCACGGAAATCCCCTGTGCTAGGTGCTGCACAAAACAAGAATCAGGGCTCCTTTGCCCTTTAAGTCATTCCTGTACTGTTCACGAAGCAGCTGGCACTACCCAGCTCAGGAGACTGAGCAGCCCGGTGATCCCATCACAAACCGCAGTAACGTCTCTCCGCCATCCTCAGCCAGAAACTCCAGGCTGCATCTGGTGCACGGCTTTGTTGCTGTGCATTAGCAGGAGTTGCTGTGGTGGAGAATCTCTAGGAAGAGATCAACTGATACCCAGAAAAAACAAACTAAAAACATGTCAAACAGGTAGAGAAATCCAGAAAGAAGAATAATCCAGACAGACCCAGCATGGGAGAGCTGATATCTACGTTGGGCTGCAAACGAAACTGGAAATGCCTCTGAGATGCTGGGTCGCAGGTAAGAAAACCGCCTGCTTGGCCATCATGTCCTGCTCTGCCTCTGCTTCCGTGCCGCTGTGATCGCTAGGTATCAAGAGCATGGCACGGAACATGCTTATTTGTGGTTGTAAACTGCTGCTGCCTCTCTTACAGGATTAAGCCTGGCGTGGGGGAGTGGGGCAGAACTACAGCCTCTCCCACGTCAGGCGCCGTGCTCAAAGCCCCCGGCATTCACCCTGCGGGTTGCTCCCGGACCAGAAGTGAGCGGTCACGCAGAGGCAGGCTGCCACCGAAGAACAAAGGCATCTTGGTGCTCTCAGGAAGCGCCCAGGGAATTACTGCTTATACCAAGGGCAAATAATAAGCAATTTCGAAATAGGAAGAAGCTCCAAGACTGTTACAGGATTAGCGGGAAAGCAATCTGCAGCACCGCTCACCCCAGCTGTTGCGCTCCTCAGACCCAATTTGCGGATGTGGCTGTGTTAACTACCTCGGGTTAACTACCAGTTAACAGCTAAACGCTCAGACACCTCAGACAGGAGGAAGAAGCAACTTCCTTGAGCAAACAAGGACACCACCAGAGTTCTGCCTGAAAAAAAATCCACAGAACATAAACCACACTAAACACAAGAGAATATATATGATTTAGGAATAGCGCTCGTTTCCCCAGTCCGTAGGGCAGCGTGCGTGAGCTCAGATGAAAAAGCATAGAGCCAAACGGTTCCACATCACACGCTGCGAGCTGAGGCTTCCAAAAAAGGAGATTCTGTACTCGCCGCCTAAGGAGATACCTCACCCCTCCCTTTAGATGTGTGTCAGCTATAGACGTTTCGAAATGGTTCCAAACTCTTCCTCTCCTCAAGCAGTCTACAAGAACTGTCCCTTCAACAAAACCCATGGGAGAAGACCATGTCCAGCCACAGAATACTGTAACCTAGACGGCGTCGGTGAGTTCTCACGTGCTACGTTTAAATCTGAACTTTGACAGGCTTTCAGACAAGGGAACTTTTCAAGATTTTTCAAGAAGCCGGGAAGTAACTGTGATAACCTGAGAGAGGCAGGGAAGGAGCCGAGTCCCACCCGGATGCCCAGGGAGCAGCGTGCCTTTTCCTCCCGCTCGTTCAGAGGCTGTTGCCTGGTTCATGCGAAATGCTGGTGACCCGTGTTCGCTTTTAAGAAGCGTAGCAGTGACAGAGCTGCCTCGCGGTCTGACTACAAGCTGGATTTTGTACGAAGCGGGCTCTAGCCATCCTGGGTAAGCCCCGGCAGGCCCAGCTGGGCTGGTCGGGACCAACGCCCTGCTAGAGACAGCCCAGGTCAGGGCACAACCAAAGGTGAAGCAGCACCCAAAGGAGAGGCTTTGGCAGAGCCCGGCGAGCAGAGCACGCCGACAGGTCGCAAGCCTTGGAGGCGTTTCGTACGGCGCGAAACACGGCTGGGGCTCCCGCAGACCGTGGCGACAGAGACAGGTTTTAGGAACTCCTCTAGCTAGTACTTTCCAGCAGGAAGGTGGAAGGGTCTGCAGGCTGATGGCATATGAGAAAAGGACGATATTTAACACAGCAGGAAATAAAGGAGAAGCAAAAGAAAGCAGAATTGCTTATTGCTCTCTCCTAGGAACCCTGCTCAGTGCTTTGCAAAGATTCCCTTTCCTCCACTGCTGCCAATTTCCACAGCTGAATTTGGACCAGGAGCTCTTCCTCCCTTGCAACAGCACAATGTTTAATACAGAAAGAAATAGTTAAAAAGAATCCTTTTGAATTCTTTGCTGTTCAAGCAACTGCATCCCTTTGATAGCAAAATACAAAGCCTTTCGCCCTGACCCTCTGCTGAACTCCTGCCAATCACTGTAACACCATCCTCTGAAAGCAGAGAGCAAGAAGACAGCGTAGCCCAGCTTGCCTTGGGCTGTGATTTAGTATACGAAGTTTTGTGAAATTATTAAATGTAAATTCCTCGCTCAGTTGGCTTGGCACTAGGGCAAAACCATCAAGTGGGCCTTTTTCTTCCAAATCTGGTAACTAAAACCTGGTTTTAGATGAGCCCCGATTTTCATGATATCGAACATTCATACTTTAGAGGTAACACCGTGCTGTGGCCCCCACTTTATGTAGCAGGTAACGACCAGACACAAAACTACTGAGGTGCCTGTTTTTTGTCAGTGACAAACCCTCATTCCTACAGCTCCCGTGTCTGAAACTCCACAAGATCTACCATTCTGTTCAGGAAACAAGGCTAATGACCATGTGCCCTTATGCTTTTGGTCATTTTGCAGACATCTGAGCCAGCAGCAGCACTGTTGGACCCAGCCACTGTCCCAAGGACAAGCTCAGACCAAAGGAAGACCAGGAGAAATTTAAGAGAAAGAACAGTTTGGAAGCTCTGCCTTTGTATTTTGAGATTTACTTTAACAAAACTACAGGGTTCACGTCTTTTAGTGAAGAGACGAGGCTGTAGCTGCTGTGGAGAAGGCAGGGAGCTGCAAGCTCCATTGCCCTTCATCCAACTTCTGTCTTCCTGCAGTTCAAGGTAGGAACTAAACCCTTCTTACACTCCCCCAAATCAATGCTTTGCATGTTGTTTGTAGCAGGATTCTCAGGGGCAGGCTGCTTTACCCTTTTCAGGAAACATTTAAAGAGGAATCTAAGTGAAACACAGCTCAGGAAAATGTCAGTGGGAACTGAAGAAGAGAAGATAAAGGTCAGAGGACCACTTGTTTCTAGTTAGCTCAGAACAAACCCAGGTCGGGGATGCCTGGATGCAGTTACCGCTGTTCTGCAGGTCTCATTTCAGGTCTGCCACAAACTGCATCCCTCAACCTCTTTTTGTTGGGCTGAAATCCATCCCAGTCGAGAGCTGGTTTCAAGGACAGAGAGGACAGCGCTCCTGTTGCCAGGGGCCTGGATATTTCACACCTACTAAAACCACCCATCCACTCTATCCAAAATTCACCATTTTATTTTAAAGGCAAAAACTGGAGTGAGGCAGGTATTGTTTGGTCTACTGCGGACGTACTGTTTCTTGTATGACTATAATTCTTTCTTATTCATAAATAAACTTATTAATATCCCCTGCTGTCGTCTGGCATGGAATGTGGATGCCTCCCTGCTACAAAATACATTTTTGCTTTCATCCAAGGGATCGAAACGCCCGAAGGCAGGGCTAAGGAGGAAGAGCACTGCGTGTGCATCTCGAAGAGAGCCAGACAGGAATGCTCGCTCTTTGACACGCTCCCGCCCCTCCCACCCGCTTGACACTGCTCAGCCTGGGTCCCCAATCTGCTTCTCTCCCGCTCCAAATGAGCCAGCGATTTTCCTTTAACCCAAACTGCCCTGCAACAGCCGCCTCGTCTGTTGAGAAATACTACCTTGAATTTACTTCCTGCTTCACTAAAAATGTGGCGGTTGCTGATAAAAAGGCAATGATACGCAGCGTGTGAAGGGAATGACGATTGTTCTAACGCTGCAAGCAGAACATCTTCCACAGAACCCCGGGGCATTTAACAGACGCTGGAAGAGATTCCGAGAATTGCTGTGATGACCTCATCCCCGATCACCCAAAGGAAGCAAAGCACCAGCAGGCTCTTCTCCTCAAAGGAGACAACCACCAGGAGTAAGAAATACCCGACCAGCACGCTGCAGAAGCTTAATTTACCGAAAGGAAACTGCGGCACCAAAGAAAGGAGTGATTTGTGCAGAATGCCGTTAGAGGAGGACTTGTCATCTTCTCTCCACTGACTCAGTGCCCTACTCTGAGGCCCACGTTTACCTTCGATGACTTCTTTGACAACAGATTAGCTTAGCTCCAGCACAGTCAGCGAGAACCAGCCAGCCGGAGTTCTTTTCAATGACAGTTATTAGCCATATTCAGCAAGATCCCATTCTCATCAGGAATAGTAACTGGCTCAGAAGGGAGAGCTTGCAGTTGGACTATTTTTGGTGCTCTACAAATAAACGCCAGATGGCATGGAGTGAAGTTAGGGGGCATGATGAAATCCATCACGTGAACATCCTGGCAACTTGGTGCAATGGCTTTATCCTTTACCTGGGCTCTTAAATGGGGGCGTCGCATCTTGGCCAGCAAGAAGACACAACCACACTTCAGTCTCAACAGCCCTCTCCAGGGCACTTCCGTGAGAGCACACGGAAGACCTACACAATCAGGACGTTTCTCTGCCAAGCCTAAGTTTTGTTGGGCTGCAGGCAAACAACAAAGCAAGTGGCAGCACTGGGAGGAGCAGACATATTTCAGTTCCCAGCCCTGGCCCAAAAGGCCCCACGTACCTGTCACGGAGCGTGTTGGGACCCAAGTAGGGGTACTGGCTGTCCTTGAGTTTCCCTTTGATGAGCTGATCCAGTGTTTCTTGAAGGAGAGGCTGGTGTTGCGTGTACACATTCTCAACACCCTGCAGTGCAAGAGAAGCTCTTGTTAAGGATTAATACAGCAAGGCAGCAAGCTGAGAGCAAGATGACAGAAAAGGAGCTTCATCACCTGACGGACACAGCAAGCGTTAACCATTGAAGTGCAGGTTTAGAGGGGCTTTTCAGCAACTCACTCCCATTGTCTTCAATGAGAATCAGGGCGTAAAAGCCCAGTGGGCTTATTATTAAACCTCTGAAAGCCACGACACATGGCATCGTGCTGCATGCGAGTCCTGCGCCATGACTGCGATTTTGACTAAAATTGTCATTATTTCATCTGCGGCAGATCCATACCTTCAGTCCTTTGAGGAACTGTTTGGTGATGGCTACAGCATCCTTGGGACTGAACAGGTCGCTGCCCCGCACCCGTTTCCCTCCGTACTCCACAACGGCAGACACGAGCTGTACAGAGAAAGGCAAAACCAGAATCCTGTTAACCTGGGAAACCAGCTTCCAGGCCGTTTTTGCTAGGTAGGCTCAGTGGAGGTACGGGAATGATGACCAAGCAGTCAGGGAGATTGATCCCAAGCAGATAATGCAGCATAAAGAGCGGCAAGGGGGAAGAGACGAAGTACTCCCCATATCCACCAAGCAAGCCAGGCTGCCGTGACACCGCCTGCATAAGGAGAGAGGCTTTCATTTCCACACTCCGCTGCAGCGACAGCAGATCCTCCATACAATGTGACATCATCCTGCTTCTCCACCTCCTCTCCAGCTGCTCAGCGCATTTGCCAAGCGCTGCCACCCTCTCCCGCCCAGCCAGGCTCCCTTTGCAGTCCCCAGAAGCCCTCTGCTGCAACTCTTCCCTGTTCAGCAG